CAACTCCACTTGCATAGTTAAAGGCTTTCACAGACACCTCCCTATCACTCTCTATCCTATATCTTCGTTAACATCATCTGAAAATTCTCTGCTTTCAAAAACAAACTATCGGGGCTGGGGATTTAGCTCAGCGGCATAAGCGCCTGCCTTGCAAGCAGGCAGTCGTGAGTTCAATCCCTGGTACCAATAAAATCGAAAAAGACCAAAAAAAAAAAAAAAAAAACTATCAAAAGAATCAATTTCCTCACTGTCAAGTTTTGCCCATCTGATTCTTATTCACTAGTATTCCTGGTTTAAAAAATTCATTAACTTGAAGAAACCAATTCCTATGAGTCAGTGAAAGCCGTGCTGGGCCTGGGAGGAGAAACAAGAAGCCAATTTGTCCTTCCTGTGAGCCAACTAGTGCACAGGGTGAGAGACAAGAACACTGCTCACACCTCTCCCTCCCAGGCAACCAGCTGATTTGGAGGGCAGGCTGAGTTGATGGCAATTAAAGTACAAAACAACTTAATGCTTTGATTGTCTGATTGACTTTGCAGGCTTACAGTCAGTAGTCTGAAAGTCTAAGATGATAACGATATGCAATATAGCAATATAGGGGATTTCCTTCTGTCTTGTTTTTGAAATCCAATATTGTTCTCACTTTTATTTTCTTCCATTTTATTGTTTTTATTCACATTTCTGGTTTTATTGGTTTTATTCTGTTCTGTTTTGCTTGATTTTCTTATGTCTGATGCTATGGACAGTGATTTTCAAGATAACAAGAGGCATTATGGTAACCATTATTGATTTCCTGTTATCCTGTTTTGAAATCTTATTTCACTTTCACTGTTTTGATTGGCTTTATTCTATTTTATTTTGTTTGGTTATATTCTCTTTAAAATATATGTTCATTCTTTTGTTATGGTTGGTTTTATTCTGTTTCCTTTTGTTTGATTTTGTTATGTCTGATGAAATGGACACCTATTTTGAAGAAAACAAGAAACATTATGGTAGCCAATGTTGATTTCCTATTATCTTGGTTTGAAGTCCTGTAACACTGTCATTGTTCTGTTCTGATTAGCTTTATTGTGTTTTGTTTGGTTTGGTTTTATTTTCTTTAAAAAAAAAACATTAACTTGCATGATAGACATTTTTCCTTAAAATGTTAATACACTTAAGTCCAAATGCATGTATAATCATTTTATGAAGCTAAAAATGGCACACAGGTAGATTAATGAATTATGTAACTATAAATAACATTTCTTGGCATTTTGTTTTATAAAAATATATGCCTAGAACATGAGATTAGAAGAAAAGTAAGATGAGGGCTGGGAATTTAGCTCAGTGGTGTAAGCGCCAGCCTGGAAAGCATGAGTTCACAAGTTAATCCCAGGTACCAAAAATTAAAAAGAAAGAAAGAAAAAGAAATATATGATGGCCAGGTCAGAACACATTGCTTGAGTACGTTCATGGTACAGGGTTTTAACCTAAAATCAGTGGGAAGCTGTTATGATATTTTAAGTTGGCTGTGGTAATTTGAAGTTTACAAATCTAAAGAGTAAGCAGTAGTTGTGGCCAAGTGGTTAAGGTGATGGACTAGAAAAGCTAAAGAATAGCAAGTTGATCGAAAGCGGTCAACAGTGATTGAAGGGAAAATAACTGGCTGTTCTAATAGTTGACGTGAAAGAAAATGGTAGCTTTGTTTTTATGCATAGCAGGAAAAATACAAAGAATCCAAAGTATTATAAAAAGTAAGTGTATATTGAACTTGTGATTAATATATATTGAGTATGAAAGAAGGGTATGTTAGAGTACACTCTTGGTTTCTGACTTACACAATGTGCAGTGAAAGACAGCACCACTCACTAAGATAGAAACTGTACTAAAATTGTGTTTTCATTTAATGTGTGTGACTGGTTCATTTAACTCAATTAGAATTAAATAAAAATTAAAATTTAGTCACTCTTATCTCATTCCAAATGCTTATTACCTCTGTAGATGTTTCTAGAAGCTCCTAAAATGGCCGGTGTGTATATAGAACATTTCCATTATTGTAACAATTTCTTTTTTTTTAATTTTAAAGAGGGTAAAATTAAACAGAATGAAACAGATCATAAAGAAACAATTTTGAGAAACACGAATTTCAAAGCAATACCACTGGAGATCTTCACTGTCTATCATATTGTCTTTTGTTTTCTTCCAAATAGTTGTCCACATCTTCACATACAGTGAATACATACTGAATATTATAGTACTAAATTAATAGGAACAGGTTGATGAAGGCTTTTTAGGTCTGCAAGACCAGACAACGGGGAAGTCAACAATGGCTGCCATAATGTCTCTCCTTCTCTTCAAAATAGTGTCCATATCTTTATGTATGTTGAAATTAAGCATAAGAGACTAGACTAATACCACTCTGAACAGTGAATTATAGTATTGCTAGATTTTATATCATAATGCTACAGAATTAGTACTGGGTACCTTAGTGTCTCTTTTTCTTCAGCGTATCTGTTCATTACATTGTGTATTATATAATCTGTTCCCATAAATTTTTTAGAAATTCTACACATATGTGAATCTCTACATGTATACCTATCCTTTCTGTACTATAGGGAAAATAGGTCAAAACAAGACAACAAAACAAAATCACAGAGAGAGAAATAAGAGAAGCCACACTCTTCACACTAGCAAGCAAAAAAATAAATTTTTAGGAATTACTCTTACAAAAGAAGTGAAAGACCTTTACAGGGAAAATTATAATACACTGAAAGAAGAAATTGAAGATGATCTCAGAAAATGAAAAGACATCCCTTGCTCGTGGATGGAAGAATAAACATTGTGAAAATAGCCATTCTCCCAAAACTGTTACACAGATTCAATGCAATCCCAATAAAAATACCATCAACATACCTTATAGATCTAGAGAAATCACTCCTAAAATTCATCTGGAACCAGAAGAGACCCAGAATATCAAAGGCAATTCTAAGCAGCAAAGGCAAGGCAGGAGGCATAACAATCCCTGACTTGAAGTTATACTACAAAGCAACAGTAGTAAAATCAACATGGTACTGGAATCAAAACAGAGCAGAGGATCAATGGAATAGATTAGAAGATACAACCACAACTACAAACACACTCAACCACCTTATCTTTGATAAAGGAGCCAAGCAGGTTCACTGGAAAAATGACAGTCTTTTTAATAAATGGTGTTGAAAAAACTGGCTCTCCATTTGCTGAAAACTAAAACTCGACCCAAGCCTATCACCATGTACTAAATTAAAATCTAAATGTATCAAAGATGTGAATATTAAAACAGGAACACTAAATCTATTGGAAGACAAATTAGGTAGAAACCTTGAAGACATAGGGGTAGGTAGAGAATTCATGAACAGGACTCAAACTGCACAGGAAATACTTCCCAGAATCAATAACTGGGACCACCTCTTATTAAAAAGTTTCTGTAAGTCAAAAAAAATCTCCAGCATAGTGAAAAGAAAACCCACAAATTGGGAAAAGATCTTAGTGAACTCCCCCTCAGACAAAGGACTTTTGTATAAAACTTATAAAGAATTAAAAAAAAACTCAGACCCCCAAAATTCAAAGACCCAATCCAAAAATGGGCATCTGATATCAATACACAATTCTCAGAGGAAGAAATACAAATGGCAAATAAATACATGAAAAAATGTTCATCATCATTGGTTATTAGGGAAATGCAAATTAAAACCACACTGAGATTCCATCTCACTCCTGAAAGAATGGCTAGGATCAAGAAAACCAACAACAAGTGCTGGAGAGGCTGTGAGGAAAAAGGAACTCTTCTACACTGTTGGTGGGAGTGTAGATTGGTACAACCTTTGTGGAGGTCAGTCTGGAGATTTCTCAAAAAGCTGGGATTGGAAGTCCCATTTATTCCATCTATTCCACTTCTAGGCATATTCCCAGAAGAACTGAAAGTATCATACCACAGTGATATATTTGCACCTATGTTTATAGCAGCACAATTTGTAATTGCCAGATCTTGGAAACAACCCAAATGTCCATCAACTGAGGAATGGATAAAAAAAGCTGTGGTATTTCTATACAATGGAGTACTACTCAGTTATAAAGAAGGATCACATTGAGGTATTTATCAATAAATGGGTGCAGCTTGAAACCATACTCATAAGTGAACTAAATCAAACTCGCATCTGTGAATTTATATAATTCTGTCTCAAGTTTTTACAATAAAAAACAAATTAGATCAAGCATGAGTCAGACAAAGAAAATAATAAACAACCAGCTAAATTCAATGAATACTGGCACAGACTAACTCTTAGATATTAAAAAAAAAAGACCATGCAGTCCTAAGCAGCCCCCACACGAGAAGATTCTAAGAGGTCTGCAAAATCAATTAGAAACAAAAGCTTTTTGTTTTTTAGAGGGTGAGTAGCACACATCATGAGATTTTTAATAAAGTGTTCCAGTCATTGACTTCCCAAGATGTCTTTGTGCTGTGTGAATCCAAGTTAAACTCCTGTATGTAGACAAGGCTCTAATTGAAATAAGTGTATGGGGGATGGGGAGTCAATGTACTAATTAACAAGAACAAGCACACCCATTACAAGTATATCTACACTACACAGCAGCTAGATATAGGAATTAGAAGCAAATAATACAGTTCCTTTTAGTAACATCAGTTCTTAAAAGGTAGAAGTTGAAACATATCCAGGAAGGAAAAGCAAATGAAAAACATATGAACATATGCAATGAAATCAGCAATGCTTGATTCTTTAGCTCATGAGATAGCCAGAGGTGGTTGATAGGACACTAATATAAAATCCAGAAGTAAAGTGTTAGAGTTTGGATTAGCTTCACACACTCTGATGTATATGCTAATCATGCAGGGATCTCTGAAAACTTGAATTGTAATCCATTAGATCTCAGGTGGTACCTGAGATCCTGATATTTAATAACTCAGTCATGCCAATGCTAATGCTCTCTGGATTATGTTTTGAGTTAAAGCCTGAGACCATATCTGGAAGAAATGGAAGTTTTATGCCAACCAGAACAAAAGGCTGTGTTATGAGTTATAAATTAGCAAAAGACTTGAAACCAATCTAGCAGGATGAGAACAAGGCAGATTCCACACATGTAGGAGCCAGAGACAGGAGTGTCTTAAGCACAGCATCAGGACTGTGGTCATGAATATCCTCTTCTCATGGAATGCAGATAGTGCTAAAAAACAAACAAACAAAAAACCATTTTGGCACTCAAGGAAATACTTGACTGCTGACCACAAGGAGTTTTTTATGTGAATGATGAAAAACACTTAATGTCCAAGTCTGTCACTGTAACATTTTAGGTCTAGTTCAGTATGCCACATCCCTCTCAGACACTGAAGGATCAACAGGGATCTGGCTCTGCTCTGAGAGAGTTCAGTGTGGAGAGTGGAGAACAGCTCAGTTCTAGGGATCCTGTTATATTTATTATCTCTGTTAGGTTTACATTTCCTTACATTTAGAAAAAGAGAGCACCGATAGGAACATAATGCTCGTCTTGACTCTGATTTAAGTAAATCCAGTCTTTCTCACTAAAGGAATGGATTGGAATTTGAGACCAAAAAACTTACAGTAATAGAGAATGCTTATTTCCTTTCCTTTCTCTTCACACATGTAAGATGAGACTTATTTTCTCAGTAAGCAGCATTAGTTGTGCTATGGAAAAAGGAAAATGTTAGGAGTCAAATACTGTCCTTAACTGGAATACTCTCCTTAACAACTTTGCAACTTTTAACAAGGAAATTTAATTCCTGTATCAATGTCTTCATTGGGCTTTTCCTTTAGGAAACTCAATGGAAGGAAGGATTTTTGCAGAACTTGATGGAGTTAAATTCTTAAGCCTTATTTCTTTTTCAAACTGAAGAGTAGAGAAATATGAGATGATCACAAAGTCTGGAAACAGATAAATGTGTCTAATGACTAGTTCATTGATAAGACATTATAGTGCCTTATACATATATACATATACATATATACATATGTATACAGAATTTATGTCCATACACTGTTCTTATAATGATGCTCTCTGCATCAAATATTTCTTTAAGAACAAATAGGCCAGAAACATCAAATAGACAAATTACTGTGGTATGAACACTTGCGTCTCTGCAGAATTCATATATTGAAACCCTAATTCCCATTATGATGGAATTAGATTGTTAGCCTTTGGAAGGTGATTCGTTCATAAGGGCAATGTCCTTATAAAAGAAAGATTATTGTCTGTATAAAAGCTATCACAATTTCCTAGATGGTTCCTTCAACCATGTGAGAACATAGACAGGAGGTACCATCTATGAACTAGAGAACAATCAACCTCACCAGACACCAAATCGACTAGAGACTTGATCTTGGACTCACTAACCTCCAGAACCAAAATAAATAATTTTTAGTTGATAATAAGTACCAATTGATGACATTTTGTGATAGAAGCCCAAACAAAGATACCGGGATTAATTTTTCACTTGCCCAATTATTGCTTCACATCCTTATGTAGAGTTCTTGAGACTAACCTTAAGGTTAGCAGGCAATCTTGAAAAGCTGCAGTGTAAGAACTGCAAGTCTCTTGCTGGAATTAGGATTTCAAAATAACATACAGGGCACTCAGTTACATTTGAATTTCAGATAACCAGGGGGTTATTTTAGTATACATATACCCCATGTTATATTGAAAAACAAAACCTCCAGTGGGCACTGTGGCAGAAGAAAGAAATATGGTGAATCATGATCTGGTTCATAAAGATTCCCTTGCAAAAATATACACATTAATTATACTGACATTTTTTGTTCTGAAACAAGCCATGTGGTCATGGCCAAGCATAAGGGAACTTCTCTGCATGACCCCACATGGAAGAAGAGAAAATGGAATATAGGAGAGCAGTCTAAATGAAAACCACATGCACATACACCATTTTCAATTTATATTATATAGTAATATTTAAGTATTAAAGGATAAACTTGAAGCACATTAGAACAGTTGCCTGAAGAGATGAAAAGAAAAAGAAAGGAAATGGAAATAATTATGGAAAAGAAGGAACAAACCACTATCCATAGGGCAAGAATTATTATTCTCATTGTACAGGTGGGTAAATTGAGAATCAGAGTGTTAATGTGGCATTGTAATTCCAATTGCAGAGAAACCCAGACTTGAATCTTCTGATTCTACGTGCCTTTCCTTGTCCCAAACTGCCCAGGTCCCAGCATTACATGCATTGACAATGAATACGAATATATGAATTGATAATAGTTTTCCTATTTATTTGATAACTTAAATAGGGTGCATAAATATTTCTAAATTTGAATTTTATACGGTTTGGTGTTTTAATAACGAGTACTTCACACATGTAAGATGAGACTTATTTTCTCAGTAAGCAGCATTAGTTGTGCTATGGAAAAAGGAAAATGTTAGGAGTCAAATACTGTCCTTAACTGGAATACTCTCCTTAACAACTTTGCAACTTTTAACAAGGAAATTTAATTCCTGTATCAATGTCTTCATTGGAAAAGAAAAAGCAATAATGCCCACCCTAAAAGGGCCACATAAAGATGGGTAAAATATTACATGGTACCATATTGATATTTTAGAATATATTGGTGATCATTAGGTCATTAGGTGATATTAATATCTACAACTCATACATTTTAATGTACCAGTTAAAATTAATTTTAAAGTATTTTAAAAGAATTTAGCAAAACCCTGGCAATTACATTTTATAATTTAACTATAGTGTTTTTTCATGTTGCAAAAGTTATAAAGTAATTCACATTCAACTGACTGCCTGTGTGTTTTCACTCACCCTACTTGCTATCCATTATTTACATCCCCTATTTTGGTCATACTACTACTATTTCTCTTAACTAGTTAACTGGTCACTATGATTATAATAAGCCAAAGAGAAAATCAGTCATTGAGATCTTTAGCTTGATGTTTTAAACTTCATAACTCTATGCCAAGGATTGTGACAAACAAAATATCCCTGGAATAGTGCTTAAATTTGACCCAATAGCCAAGTAACACGTGAATAATTGCTGATGTACCTACATTTTTGTTTAATCTTTTTGTCAGAATTCTATCCCACTCTTTCATTGAGCATAACAAATAAAGGTCTGACCTAATGATCACCAATATATTGGAAAATATCAAAGAACATTTTAAAGAAAAATATATTATCTATTCTTATTATTTTACTACATATTTATGTATCTCAAATTCACATTGTTCAATTTTATATGATTTTGAAATTCAAGCTAATATAAATGTCATATTGCATATGTTCTAACACAGATATATGAAACGAATTAATTCTTCTTTCAATATTCTATTGTCTTAGTTACCTGTTACTCATCACTGAGACAAAATACCTGAAGCCCAAAGCTGGGAAAGGAAAGGATTATTTCTTACAGTTTTTGGAGGTTTCAATCCATACTCAGTTGGCTCCAAAGTAGGGTGGCATAGCAGGGCCAGAGTTCATGGCTGCTGCAAATAGCAAGGCAGAAACCAGCAAGAGAGCAAGACACGCCTTCTTCCTGCCATTACATGACATCCTGGCTCCACCCCTAGACCAGTGTAGCACTCACACCACCAATCTAAGCCCTAGACAATGAACCAATCAAAACTGCACAGTGCAAATGCATGAGGCCTGGGGGCCACTGACATAAACCATGACATCTATGGATTTCCATATAGAAATATGCCACAATTTATTTATCCATATCCCAATTTCAGATAGTGACATCATTCATTAAGAGAAAGATGTGACCATTACTTTTACCCGTCATCTTGACTGGGTAATGATTATCTAGAGAAATGGTAAACATTGTTTCTGGGTGTGTCCATCGAGGTGTTTCCAGAGGGCTTTGGCCTGTGAATCAGTTGACTGAGTGAGAAGATCTACCCTCTTTTTGCATGCATGCTATCCAATTGACTGGGGACCTAAATAAAAAAAAAGAAAACAAAGAAAAAGTGAAATGCCTTTGTCCTTTCTGAAGCTAGGATATCATTCTTTTGCTTTTGTACATCGGAACTCCATGCTTTCTAGCCTTTGAACTCCATGAATTATACAAGCAACTCCCCATGATTCTCAGGTCTTTGGCTAAGAACTGAGAGTTAAACAATAGGCTAAGCTTGTTCTGAGGCTCTTGGACGTGACCTAAACCATGTCTAGTAACATGAGAATATGAGTCTCCAGTCTGCAGATGGCTCACTGAAGGATTTCTCAACCTCCATAATAACATAAGCCAATATCCTGATAGGTTTCCACACATCCACTTCTTATGTATCTATTATCTATCTATCTGTCTGTCTGTCTGTCTATCAATGATTCATCTATCTACTTATTTCACCTATTTTACTAGTTTTATTCCTGTGGAGAGTGCTGATATAATAGGCCAGAAGTTTAGAGTGAGAAAGAATGGAATATGTAGTAAACATTTTCCATTTGCAAGTCAAGTTGATATTCATTTTGTCACTTTTTAAACTGCAACTAGACTTCTACACTTTTCATAAGCTGACCCAATGTACAACCACTTCAACAAAGACAAAACTTCACATTAAATAATCCCCACAAATGTTACTGGGTGTTTTTCTGACCTTTGAATTTTCTTGTTTTAAAGAAATATTGAGGTATCGAGAATAAGTTTCCTTTACCTTCTTTTCCTATGTTACAACAACCAAATATGAGATCTATATGTGATAATCACCTGAAACACACTGGTATCTAAAAACCATTTGCCCCAGTAAGTTCTCAATCAGTTTACTATATTTATGGAAAATTAAAACATTGTCCACAATAAAACTCATTCATTAATTAACATAATTGATTTAAAATTAGCTGTCATCTCTCCCCTCCAAAAAAGTAATAAGAACTAAGGAGTAATAAAATCCAAAATGTGTAAATTTTGTTGTAAAAAAGAGAGGGGGAAAAAAAGAGCTCTAACGGATATAACAGCAAGTGTGTTTAGGGATGTTAAATAGCTGACTATATTAATGTTTTTGGATCATTGAACACAGCTGTTTGCAGTCTCTCTGTTTGAATGTCCACTTTGTATTCTTTGATACTGTGATTTGAGCAACTATTTCTAAGATGTTAATATGTAATCTATTAACAGGTGATTTCTTACTGTTTTTTGTTTTTGTTTTTGTTTTTTGTAGTTCTGTATTATGTGTACCCTTACACCTCTTTGTTTTGTTTTGTGTTTTTCTCTTTTTCCTTTTAAATAAAATTAAAAAATAAAATAAAATAAAATTAGCTGTCAAGACTGAAAAATTATATGCATACAAAATACTTATGAATCATCCTCACAAAGAGACACATAAAACAAGAGATAGTTGAAAATGTAAGGAAGGGAAATGTTTAATACAGGCAGACACGTAGAACATAGCATTCATTTCTTCATTAAATGTGTATCAAAAAGGCATTATGTACTAAGCCCAGGGATAAGCATTGAGATTTGACAGATAACTCTGATCTTGGTCCTACCCTCAATAAGTTTCTGTCAAATGCTTGTATGATGATAATATCTTGCAAATAATTCCACTGCAGAAGCTGTTGCAGCATATTGATTGACCTATTTATGTTAAGGCAATTGCTTTATCAGGATAGGATAAGTATCCTATTGCCCAGGACCTAGCACAGTGCTTATTTGAGGCCATTCTCAGAGAATATTTCCTGGGTGAATCATGAAAAAACACTGGATTGACCTAGAAATCTGTAAATCATAGTTATTGCGCTAGTCAGTTTTCTACTACTGTCACAAAATACCTGGGATAATTAACTTAAAAGCAGGAAAAGTTTATTTTGGTTCACCCTTTCAGAGGTTTCAGCCCTTGATCTCTTAGTGCTATTGCTTTGGACCTGTGGGAGTATGGTACATCATGGCAGGAAAGCATTGTAAAGGATACCTTTCTACATCATAGTAGCTGTGAATCAAAGATAGAGGAAGAACTTAACATTTTGGAATCTCCTTGAAGAGCATATTTCCAGTGACCTAATTTCCTCCCTCTATACCCAGTCTAGAGCCTTCACATTGAGCTACATCCACACATCTTTTTACTTTTTTTTTTTTGAGCTGGTCTCATTGAGTTTCCCAGGCTGGTATCAAACTTGTGATCCCCCTGCCTCAGCCTCCTCCACCTCCCCATTACTATATCTGGCAACCAGAACTCTAATAAAAGCCAGACCTCTGGGCTTTGAGTGACATTCAAAATCCAAATTATAGTAGGCACCTTCAGTATATTTTTTCTCCCTTTTAAGATGCCTTGTTTTTAGATTTTGCTTTCGGAGTCTAACATTTATCAAGTAAAGTCATCCCTTTACGTCCTATATTCCCAGGGTCTCTAACATGGGCCTCAACACACACCCACAATCACAAAAAAGAATTGTATAACTCCAGTAATGACCATTTAGAGTCAGTGGTGAGGAACTGAACCTTAACAATGAAATCTCAGAAAAATGCCAGGAAATTACATGTTTCACACTTATACTGTAGGAGACAGCCTACTGCCCCAGTATGGTTGAACACAGAGATTTGAGAATTAGTTAAGAGATGGTATATTTGCACACTGCACAAATCAGCATGAATTCTGTAACAGACAAATGGCTTTTGTATAGTGGACGGGATTATGGAAATTAGCAAGAGGCGCCATAGCCTAGAAAAAGCAAGGCACAGATAAGGATTTTGAGAACCAAGCTGAAATGCAGCAACCTTAGACAAAGAAGAATAACACAACTAGAAAAACTGAATGTGTTGTCTTGCTAATTAGCACAACAAACGAAAAAGAGGATAACATAAAACCCAGGGTTCCAATGGTTTAGGATCATATGGGAAATGGAGATGGTTGAAAGACAGGGAAGGAAAGGGGAAAATCTGAGGGACAGAATAGTGCCTGTGTATTTATTATGGATGTTCTTTGGGTAGCTTATATCTTGATTTATTTACTCTCATTTTTTCTTCAGGTGGAATCTGCACTGAACTAGGTGATTGATAAACAAGCTCTGGGTATAAAGACTATTTATTTTACCGTAAAAAACTTCCAGTTACCTGAAAATTCCAAGACATCTAGGATTTTCCATAGTCATCAGTCAAAGACCTTAAGAAAATGTCTTAATTCTCAGTTGGCAAGTCCTGTTGGAAAAAAACCCCAAAACTCAATCTCTGGCCTTCAATAATAAACTATCTTGACCTATCAAAATTTTGTTTATTTTTATCATTTCCATTTCAGCTACTGTCTGATGTCAGTGAATTTGGATATAATTATTAAGAAAAATTATCTTGCATCAATTTTCCTGAAAAATCAGCAAATTGTTTATCATATCTCTATTTATAGTTTATAGTTTATAGGGATGTGTAAAACCCAACACTATTGAGTTGGAGCCTAAAACTGTTTCCTCAGCCTCCTATATCTATGTGCATCTTTGAATCAGGCCGAGAGAACAATGGATGCCTAATAACTATGATATTATTGATATTTAAAGAATAGAACCTACTCTTTCAATTAGAAGGATATTTCAAAAAATTGGTTACTCTAGGAATAATTAATACTTTTAAGTGTAATATCTTTGTCTAAATCCCCCAAAAGACTCATGAGAATTTAACTAAAATGTAAATGATGAGTACGGAAGCATTGTCCTTAGCATATAGGCTGCCAAATATAGGCCAGGAATTATCATGTCCATATCATGCCAAATTAGATCAGTAAATCTGATTTGTAGGAGGAGTTGTGCACAATGATCAAATACTTGAGCAGAAACTTAGTTGTTCTTGTTTTTCTTTTTCTGAAAGTAATTTAAACACAGTGTTAAATGTCTGTCTGGAAGAAGCATAGCCCTGGTTCCAAAACTGGAGAAGGTACCCAATTTTTAAAAAAGAGAATTACAGGCCAATTTCCTTGATTAACATGAATGCAAAAATCTTCAGTAAGATACTAGCAAACAGGATACAACAAACCATGAAATTATACCCCCTGATCAGGTAGGGTTCATCCTAGGGATGTAGAGATGGTACAACATATATAGATCAATAAATGTAATATACCATATTAATACAACCAAGAACAAAAATCATATAATAATCTCAATAGACACAGAAAAAAGCTTTTGACAAGGTATGGCACCCATTCATGATAAACAACCTACAGAAATTTGTAATTGATAGTCTTTATCTCAATCTAATAAAAGCCATTGATGACAAACCAATATCACACTAAATGGACTAAAACCAAAAGTTTTCATGCTAAAATCAGGAACAAGACAAGGTTGTCCATTGTCTCCACTGTTATTCAACATATTCCTGGAAACTTTAGTCAGAGTAATTAGAAAATAGACAGAAATAAAAAGAACGATGATAGGAAAGTTAGAAATTAAGTTATCATTATTTGCAGGTGACATGATACTCTATATAGAAGATTTCAAAAACACCACTAAAAAACTAGTAGGTTTGATAAACAAATTCAGCAGCATAGCTGAATACAAAGTCAACATTCAAAAATCAGTAGCCTTCCTGTACACAAATAACAAACTCACTGAGACAGAAATTAGGAAAACAACACTTTTTACAAGTTTCCAAAGAAAGAAAGGAAGGAAGAAAGAAAGAAAGAAAGAAAGAAAGAAAGAAAGAAAGAAAGAAAGAAAGAAAGACAGACCTAGGAATCAATCTAATAAAGGATGTATAAGACCTCTACATTGAAAACTTTAGTACTCTTAAAAATGAAATTTAAATGGATATAAGAAAACGGAAAGATATCCCTTGCTCTTGGACAGGAAGAGCCAATATAGTGAAAATGACCACACTTCCATATCTGTTACATATGTTCAATGCAATTCTGAACAAAATTCCAATAGCATATCTCATATAATCAGAGAAAACAATTCTAAAATTTATTTGGAATTAGAAGAGATCTAGAATAACAAAGGCAATTCTGGGCAACAAAAGCAATGCAGGGAACATCACAATCACTGACTTTAAATTATGCTACAAAACTACTGTGATAAAAACAATGTGATATAATGTTGCAGGCAGCTGAGTTAGTTAAAAATATTATAGGCAGTGAGATAGGGTTAGGTCCTCAATGGAGCCAGTACAGACACCTGACAGCTGGGGAAAGGGGGGAAGCTGACACCTCCTGCTGTGGGCCAGACCTCAAAACAAAAGACCATACAAATGTACCCATATCCTAGATTGATACCCTACATAGTTCCCATCCCTCTAGGGAAGAGTCACTGCTCTGTAAGAATGCTTGCTTTCGGAGTTACTCGCTTCCCCATTTGTCCCTAATGTAATCAATTTTACCTGGACTATTTATCTTATTGGCTAACTATAGTGATGTCCCACCTTATATGCCCATCTGCCTTGTAAGCTCCCAGTCTTCCACCTTGAACCCATGGTTTTACTCTATAAAAGTCTCTGGAAAGAACAGAGTCCTTAGCAACCCGCTTGGGATCCCTCTTGTCTCTCTTCAGAGGGAAGCTTTCTATCAATAAATATATTCTACTCTTCACCTCCATTGTTCCTAAAATTCATTCTTTGGTTTTAGAGAACATGAACTCGTGGACATAATAGTTGAGCATTTCATTCCCTTATATCAATAAGGCAGAGTGCCTGGTACAATAGAACTGGTGTCCTTATAGTAACAGGAAGACAGGGCAGGTTCTCCCTACACCCCAAAAAAAGTAAAGGGCACAGTAAGCAGATGGTCATCTACAAGCCAGGAAGCGAGGCCTCACCAAAAACCAACCCTGCTGACACTTTCTTCTTAACTCAGACTTTCAGCTTCAAGAATTACCCAAAATTAAAGTTCTGCTGAATAAACAGACAAAAAACAAACAACAACAACAAAAAAAAAAACCAGTGTGATATTGGAAAAAAAGACCCACAGAGCAGTGGAGCAGATTAGGAGATGCAGAAACAATTCCAGACTTAATCACTTTATTTTTGACAAAGATGCCATTTATTAAAGATAGCCTCTTTAATAAGTGGTGCTGGAAAAATTAGCTCCACACATGCCAAAGATTAAAATTGTCTTTCACCATGCACTAAACTAATTTTGAAATGAATCTAAGGTTGAAACATTAAAACAGAAATATTAACTGTGCTGGAGGATAGAATAAGTAGAACTCTGGAAGATGTATGTGTAGGCAAAGACTTTATGAATAAAACTCTGAGTGCATAAGAATTATCACAAAAGAATCAACTACTGGAATCCTACTCTATTACTGAATGTCAACTGAGTGCAAGCATAATATTGCAATCCAAATATTGTATACCGTAATCCAAGTTTTGTAATCCATTTTCCAGTTACCCTCACAATACAGAAAATTATATTTGTAGTTCCTTGAAAGGTAATTAAAATTCTGGCAAGTTAATTCCAATCTACCACCTCCAATGCAATCCATGGCAAGAGTAAAGACACCAAAACATATTCAAAGTTATAGTCAGCCAAAATGTCCTCATTTTGATCCAAGTGAGGATATATGGACAATGGCCTTGATCCAAGACCTCTCTCACAATTTATTATCTCATAAAGAAGGAAGAATTTCAAGGATGAGTGACAATGAGGATGGCGGGAACTATGTGAATAATTTGAGCTGGCTAATCAGGTGGGGAGAAAAGCATCTTTGCAATATGCAGGGAGAATGATATAAAGAAGGATCAGTCTACACAACTCAATTAGGATGGTATTTGAATGGTTTTAGGTGGCTGCTTCTTTCAGTTTCTGATATGGAAACTTTAGAGCCCTGGAGAATCATAGCCTCTTTTTATCTTGTTTTGAAAATTTGGGATTTTTTCCTCTTTAAAAAAAGTCTGAATGCCTCACAAGCATCCTCCATTAGCAAAAACTTACTTTCTCATTTATCAGGTATATATGGATAGTACTGCTCAGGCCTGGCAAGCCCTGGGAAAAGATGTTCACTGATGTCATCATGGTCTAGAAAAGAAAGATAATGACCCCAGTTATTTCAGAGCAGCATAATTAAGATGACCTTATGAGAAAGCCAAAGACACAAAGGATGTGCTTAAAGGCCGCCAGCAGGAAGGGGGCATTGTGGACACCAGTGAGCAACAAAGGTCACAACAAGAGGCTGTCACAGACTACTCTGCACTGCTTCCTCAAAATATTTCAATATTTCATGTGCATTTGGAAGTAAGTGATAAAAGTATTTTTCAAAGTCATAGATGGAAGAAGGTGAAAAAGGGGTTTTGGGATGGAATGAGGCAAGCAGGTCACCACACATCTGTCCTCTTCTATTGTCAATGTGCCATACAGAATGGTTACAAAACAGTGCTATGAATCTCATGTTCTTAAGTCTATATTTGAAAGTCTTTGTAGAATCCAAGTCTAATCAAATTTGATCTCTTTGTTCTGTTACCTCTAACATAAACCAAAGAATTGATAACCTTAATATGGATCTAAAAGTGACCACAGAGACCTTGAAAAAGCATCTTTGTCTCCTCACAAATCCCTTCATTTACTATTGTGATTGCTGGCCCCGGGGCCTCATGCATTTGCATTGTGCATTTGTGATTGGTTCATTGTCTAGGGCTTGGACTGGGGCTGTGAGTGCTACACTGGCCTATGGGTGGAGCCAGGATGTAATGTAATGGCAGGAAAAGGTAAGTCTCACTTTTTTCCACTTTCTGCCCTGCTGTTTGTAGCAGCCATGGACTGTGGACCTGCCACGCCACCCTGACTTGGAGCCAACTGAATATGGACTGAAATCTCCAAAAACTGTAGGAAATAAACCTTTCCTTTACAACTTTGGGCTTCAGGTATTTTGTCTCAGCAATGAGTAAAGAGTAACTAAGACAACTATCTTCAGAGAACTATTTAGAAAAAGAAAGATTCATGCAAGGCTTGAATTTCCTTTTTCTAGGGAATTACAGAGGAGTGAACCTTGAAGAAAGGATGATCACTTGGGCTGTGGCATCAAACAGAAGAGTTAACGTTTTAAAGGAAGGTATAGAATCAAAAAGCAGAAAATATTTGAAATTTCCTAGGTACAGAAATAAGGATATAGTTAGTAACTAAAATTTGTATTTTGACTCTTAAAGTCTTTGTTGACATAGTCTGTCAGACTCAGTCTCAAATAGTTCTAATCAACCTAAAGTTGATGGTAAAATTTGGCTAAATACATCTAAGTTTCCACACCTCTAGACAAACATTCCTGACAAGAATTTATAATTGGAGTAGTCCAGAAGACACACTATTAGGGCAGAACAAGTTAGTACTTCTCTTTTGAAAACCATTATAAGTAACCAAGTATTAAAAATATTTCTAATGTTCCCACTGCCAGGGAAAGAGATGGTTACTCTTTGCCTAACAGAGAAAATATCCCTGATTCTAAGGATTCAGAGATAGTCTGACAAAAGTTGGCTGAATCATTTTCCAAAGACAATATATATAAAAGGAGAAATAATTTCCCGACATATATATGTAATCATTTCCTTTTCTGTGTGAAATAAAAGCAAACATATAATGAGGTGTCAGTTCATCTTTGTCTAGATTGCTCAGATTTCACTAGACACATTTGTTTTGTTACCTTCTCAGGTGTTTCAAGATTAAGAAGCCATTCTTACAAATTACCTCTCACTTACATAGTTTGACAATATTTCAGAAGTTGTATTCCAAGTAAGAACTATCTGGTTCTTCATGGTGTACACTGAGGACTGTTAAGGATGTTTGTGACAGAATACAATCTTCCATAAATTCAGAAATCATGAATAGTTTTCTTTCCTATAAATATCTATAGTAACAATTTACTATTTTGCATTTGACAAGATTAAAGCCTATTCAATTGAAATTTCTGAAATCACATTTTTCTTACCTTCATTTTGGCAACCACAAAAAACCCTCTTATCTCTGAAAGAAGCCAACTCAATTAGGAAATATAGACAGAGAGGACTTATACAAGATTATATAGAAGTCTGTTAAACATTAGTCTTTTCGACATTTCCTCTGAGCATGTTTCCAATAAACAAGGAAAGCTGCTCAACAAGGAGGCAAAAAGTGAGCACTGTTTTACACAGGTATTATCTTTTAAAAAAAAATATTCTTCAAATTGCTGGGAAACATCGTCTTTCCTGAGAGCCTGTTGGCAGGTTGAAATTGAGCAAGATTTTTGTCTCTTTTCAATTTAGATAACAGGTAAAATAACTTTCTTCATGCCTGGAAGGAATAATTTATCTTCATCACTGCACAAAACACACCGTACTTCCACAGCCTACAGTATGACTATATAGAAAGCAAAAGGGAAATAAATAGATAGGTAAAGCAGAAATCAAAAAGATTGTCACTTTTCCTTCAGAGACGTGTGATAGCAGATTGCCTATGACATGAAAAATATAAATGTTCTGTAAATCAGCAAACACTATCTATAATGATAAAGCTATATGAATCATCCAGGTCAGAGCAGGCAAAAACTAAATTCACTGTTGTTTGGCACTGGGGAGAAATCTGGTGGTTATGATGTAAGAAGAAATCCTTTGTCCTTGTATGCTAAGCTACTGGTCACCTAAAGAAGGCTAAGGGGGCAAATCAAATACAGGATAACTCAAGAAGTACCTCCCTGAACTAGTAGCATGCGATTTTTAAAGAAAACATATTAATTAAGTAGCAGAAGATAAACTGAATCCCAGAAAAATGGAAATGAGGAAATCTGGAAATGAGTTGAACAAAATAAGATAGACTACTCCCAAATGAACAAAAGTATCATCAATGTAGAGTACAACTTCCTGTTTGTAGATATGTTGTCTAAAATATTGATTTGAAAGCCAGTTTGGGAAAAAATGTGTATAGGGATTTCTTACAATCCTATTAGGATCTTACCATGATACTACATTTATTTTACAACTCACTCATTTAGAAAATGCCCATTAAACTGCTGCACTGGAAGAAATGAAAATACCATATGTCAGGCATTGCTCATTCCTTGAAAATCAACTCTAGATTACTTGAAAAACTTACTACAGTGTAAATGCTATGTAAATAGTTGTTACACTTTATTGTTTCAGGAACTGTAACAGAAAAAAATATGTACATATTCAGTACAAATCAGATATAAGTTCTTTTTCTGAATATTTTTTATTTTCCATTGTGGAATTCATGGATTCAGAATCCACAGGTAGTAGAAAGACAAATGTATTTATCTGACTGTCCCTTACATTACCTGGAGGTTGGAATGGGGTTCTCTGAGCCTGCAACTCTGCATACCAATTTATCAATATAAAATCATGAATAACCACTCTCTGTGACCTCTGAATAGATTAGCAAATTAATAACAGCACAAAAGCAATTTAGTGATGAGGATCTTCTTGATTAGAAACCTAGCTAAGGGTAAAAGTTAAGTTTTAAAGTCTTTTATGGTATTTCCTTACCTTATAACTCAGGGGGGAAAAGAATATACAGATTTTCACCTGTGCTGAATTGAAATAGGGATTTAACTTTTGAAAGATTCACTGGCACATAATATGTGCTTAAAATATTTTTATTTTAGTAAAAAAATAGTTGAATTTGTTAAATAAATAAGTGAACGAATTGAGTACTTTTCCTTGTTTGTCTATCTAGAAAAGCAGTGCTCTGATTCTTGAGGTAGGTAACATGAAGTTTTCCTGTTTATTGCACTTGGAAACTCATAAGAATAATGTTGCTATATGTCTTTTATTATTTTGGTGAACGTACCTTAGGTCAGAATCTGAGAACTGGATGGATCAGTACAATGGGGTGGATTTGTCTGTTTCTCAGGGGCAGTACACTCTCTAGATAAGTGCATAAAACCAGAACACCAATTAGAACAATCAACTCCTCTAGGAATTGTCTAATGTTATATCCTCCTTTAGCCCTGGGAGTCCAGTTCTGAAGAAAACCCTCAGTCCTAAGGTAAGCCATAATGGTAGGTCACCTTAATACCAATTTAGCTACTGACTTTGGTAAATAATTCTCATGGTAATAAGATTAGTTCGATTTTGTTCAGCAGTGTGATAGTTTTCTATAAACACTCCATAGGGTGCACTGACTCCTTAGAATAGTGTTTTGTGGTATGGTGTGGGATACAGTGAGAACTAGGTGAAGAAAGAGTTCAATGGCACCGAGATAAGCTAGACCACCCAACATTAGGAAATACCCTCACGACAGCAGCATTTACCGAGGCCAACCTAATGTATCTTTAACTCATTAGGTACAATAAGACTTTTCTCTCCTGAAGCTTTAGATGATAAATTGGGCTGATAAAATATTTTTTGATGTTTCTGAGACTAATCAAGCAACTACTAAATTTATACACATCTCTATAAAATGATTTAGTATAATTGCAAACTAGATTATTATGAGTTGACTTTTTAAAAATTTAATTCTCAGAGATAAAGAATCAAGATTTCCTTCATATTATTTCTAAATCAATTTTAAACTTTATTGTTATTTTCTAGACTCTTTTACCATTAGGCTGTGACTCTGCTGGGATCAGGGACATTGTCTCCCCTCTGTGCAGCCCTAATAACTTTTCAAACAAACACAGGGCTGTGCTGTTTAGTGTTTTCTGTATGACTATGTGTTTGACACTGAAAACTAATTTCTCGAGAAAATGTCCCTAGTAGCTTTTTTTCCTGAACTCCATTCACGTGTATTTATAAATACTTCTTCCATAACATGAGACCTGTAAAATCTTGAAAAGGCTTAAGGATTGTCTCATAGCATGTCACTTTTCTTGAATTTCCTAAGACACTAGCATTTGAAAATCTCTGACTATATTTCAACTGAAGAAGACGCACTGCACTATAGTAACTTAGAAACGATGTATACTTTAATCAAAGTTTCAATTTCTTTGTTAATTCAAATGTTGGGCAGCCTTTAATATGTAAAGCTATGCATGTTCCAAAAGCATGCAACATGTTAAAAAATGTGTTTCAGTTACTGAAAATTTAATAGTGACATCT